AGTGTGATTATTTCTGGTTTTTTGTCTTCCTTTTTTCTTTCCTTAGGCCTTTATCACAGCCCTCAGGCCCTTCATTAGACTTACCAGTAAAACCGGGCATTTCGTAGTGAGCACCATTGTTGCAGAGCGCATGAGCTCAATAGATTTGTGCAGAACTTTGTGGTACCTGTCTCTGTAACAAAGCCCAGAGGGAAGCAGAGATCTCTGTAGCATATTTTGTTCCCCAGAATTAATTCCAAAGCCTATGACAAAGACCACTAATTTGTCATGTTTCTGGCCGTACTTCATACGACCTTGGCGGATGCCTTCCTGGGTACATTTACACGTACACGTGTATGTGAGCAAATATTTATGTGTCTGCGTAGTGCCTGTGTGTGGGTGCAGAACAACCCTGTCTTTCTTAAAACTGCCTCACAGAATTGATCAAAACTGAAAGTTGTAGCAAGCAAATGGCCACATTTCAAATTCATCTTAAATTAGTAATGCATCTTGTCTCTCACTTGAATGAGCCTATACTGAGTTATGAGTCTTGTAAATATGTGCCTTGACAGGGCAGAAGAATCCTGCACGTATTCTCTTGGGCTGTTTTCCACTCACGACACGTGTGGGCATTGATAGGGAATGTTCTCAATATTTTAAATGAAAATACCGTAAAATAACCAAAAGAAATCTGGATGGTTTAAAGCAACTGTTAAAAACAGAAGTATCACTTTTGTCCCTCTCTTTTAAGCTGAAAAAAGAAATTATTTAAAAAAGGAATTTACTTGAATAAAGCGTTTCCCTGCACTAACTGTGGAGTGCCATACAACTAGTTGTACAGCACTTTTTACTGGAGAACTGGAAAACGTTTTAGGGAACACAAGACCTCTGTGGCTCAAAGCTGTTACCTCCATTTCAGGTGAAGGAGATGGAGAAGTGATCTCCTACAGACTGCAAAGAAAAACTGTCACAGGCTTCCTCTTAATATGTAAAAATGATGCTTGGAAGTTCTTAGTGCTGCCATGTTTTATATCATGTTACTGGATGGCCAATATGCAAAGTGAACAGGAAGGAAATTTAACGATGTATAGTATCACTGGTATTTTTTATTAAAAAACCCCCAACTATTAAAATAATTCAACTCTGTTCCTCTCACGAAGTTTAAACTCTTTTCTGAGAACTGTGCTGATACCAGCTGTATGTGGCTTTATTTTTCCAAGTACACGATCAGAAGTGCCCCCATGGGAAGTTGATGATTACCATCGTACAGTCGCTTTAAAACAAGCAAAACACGTCGGAAAATAAATCGGATCTTTCCAGCTCCTCTTGAGTATTTGTATGGAGTGATGTCCTTCCCATGCATCACTTCCATCTCCGCAAAAGAGCTCCTAGGCCTTTGCAGGTTTTTTTTTTTTGATCAGACTAGCCACCATGAGAGCGTACATCTCTCCTAGCAGTAGCTGTGCTGCTGTTGCATTAGGCTTCTGAGAATAAGCTACTTGAAAATTAAGTGGCTGCTGTCTTTACTGTGATAATGCGTGGGATAAACACCTACAACTCTTGTAAGGGGAAATGTCTTGTTGCAACGTACGGCTTGTGCAACCACCGGGAGTGATGGCCGAGAGCAAAGTCTTCCTGTTCGCTGAGGGTGTAAAGAGCACGTCAGTAGCGTGTTGGATGATGCCGGCTTGCTCCTTTTGAAATGTGCTCCTCGTATGAGGAAGAAGCTTCATCTCTTTTAATATTGTTTGGAACCAAACACCAAAAAAAGTACCGAAATTAGGGGCCCAGAGATCCTACAGTCTATCCCCAGTAGAGATCTGAATTGCTCTGTGGAGGTGCCTCTCTCCGTCAGTCGCAGAGGTAGCCGAGGGCAAGCCGGCTCCTAAACGAAGTGCTTCAACGAAGTGCCTGCCATTAAACGTGACAAACTCGGTCTTTGGAGGTGCGTTCTGCGAGGGGGAGCGGACTGGGTGCCACCCAGCCGTGCTGCTGTGCAGCCCGTGCTCGGTGCAGTTGTTTTCCTCTTTTTTTAGTGTATCGAGTGTTGTTAATTTGTTTCTTGATAGCTAATGATTTTTTTATTTTCCCTCCCCTTTTGAAGAAATTACTGGAAAAACCGTCAGATTTTTTTAAGCCATTTGCAAAACGTAAGGAAACGCGCATGGTAGAGCTTAATCATGTTATAAGAGATTGTTACTCTAAAAGGCAAACTATTTTAGTTATATTGTGTTATTGTGCCATTAGTACCATTTGACTGCCAACTGTGCAGCAGCGGGGCTCCAATCAACAGGAGCCTTTGTGTGTTTTCCATTGCAAATAGTGCCGAGGATAGGAGGGAGAGAGGCTCTTAATGGTACAGTTTTTTCAGTGATTAAAAATACTTGAGATCCATTTCAGTGATCAGAAATGTGTCTTAATGAGACAATTAGTCAAACCGTAAAAGCTGCACAGCAATTTAGTTGGCGTTACTACTGGAATAATTTGCTGCTGCTGTTTTCTTCCTCCTGATTTGACTTTATCACAATAGTCTGGATGAAAGTCACTGTAGAGAGGACTTGCAGGCTGGGCTCAGTTCTCAAATGGCCATCATTATCTCTGGGGCAGATAATCCCCTTAAAAATGAGGGAGACTTTGAGGAAAAAAAGTAGTTATTTCACATATAAAAAAATTAAACGCCTTTGTCCAAGTGGCTACTACAGTGCCTTCAAATATCCAGCTGCCTGCTAGTGCCATGGCAACAGATCGCAGGTAGTGTTTGGGGGACGGGTGCCAAACTGAAAGGGCTACTTCAAATTTGTATTTATTTTTCCCTTCTGTAACAAAAGCAGAATAATGGGGCCTGAGATCTCTCTATGCCTTCTAGCCGGCTGTGTTCAAAGTGTCTGATGGAGCTAATTTTTTACCTCGCTGGATGCTATCTCACTGTCATATTAAAAATCTTTTCTCATCTGTCTCTGGTCTTTCACAATTTGGTCATAATACTACTCTAAAGCAAAGTCAGAGCAGTTGTTCTCAATCCATACTTGTCTTGAAGTTTGCTGCATCTCTTTCAGACCTGAAGCCTTGTGTTCCTCAAAGCTTGTTTGTATTTATTCCAGCCACACGTGTTGATCTATTAAGGCTTAAAATCTCCCTACACAACTGCTGGCATTCTAACTTGGAGGTATGTCAGAAACGTCCTCAGCGTGATGTTACAGAGGGCACTGAACACAGCAAAACTAAAACTTCAAAAAAAAAAACCAAAAAAACCAAACTAGTCACACTGGTGAGTTCATCTGCCTGGAGCGTTTCCATTGATGTCCACGGCATTCCATGCTCAAGAGGTCTGGGGAGTTTAGTCTTCTATTTTTGGGAGCCAATTCTGCCCAGAACTAACATTATTTAAATTAACTAAATGTTTAAGTCCAATTAATTTGCATTTACCTAAGAGGCCAATAAACAATTTACTGCCAGAGCAGAAAGCCATCTGTTGGTGTCCCACCGACAAATGCAGTAGGGCGGGTTTTTTTAAAGCCCCTCTCTGTGCCGAGGGCTGCACCGGAGCTGGAGGCTGGGGTCGGGTTGTGGTGCAGGAGAGCCTGCTCCGCAGTTAGAGGTCAGGGTCACGGCGAGGTGTGGGCTAACTCGCTGCTGCCCAGGGCAGAACGAGAGCGGGGCAGATGCCGAATCCCCAGTCTGCTGGCTGTGCGAATGTCTGCTGCAGAAAGTGCCTTCGTTGTCTGTGCCAAGCTTAATTGGGTTGATCTTCTCGATATGGTTCAGTCTGAATGTTTTCACTTTCTAATCTTGTTATAGCAGAGTTGTAGAAAGCAAAAATGTTTCAGTCTTCTAAAGGGACAATATTGTTTCTGCTTCACTCAACTTTTAACTATGAGTATTTTTTTTTCTTACTAAAGAATATTGTTTTAATGCCTCTGTCACCTATAGGTCATTGGTAAGGGGACTGTATTTGGGCATAGCGATAGTGTTATTTTGATAACGCTTTTGTGTTGGATCGGTATCACCATAAATGTGGTTTGGTTATTTGTAACTACAGCCATCTCCCTGCAGGTTACAGCCGATAGGAGACATCGAGTGATAGAATTTCTTTGTCTTTGGTTTTATGCTGGGCAGCCTGTCTCTCCTGCAGCCGCGCTAGAAACTGCAGCTTTGCTGCCTAGCGCTCCTGAGCCGCAACAAATGCTGTGTTTCTCTGTTCACACCGCTCTGCTAGGATGCAAAGACGAACCACTTCTTTCTTTCATAACTAATTACGGGCCAAACTGAAAATTGCTCAGGGTACCAGCCTGCTGGCATATGATTATTTGCAAACTGCTGAATTTACCTGAGTCAGAAGTGTTTAAAACTGAAGTTGAGGTTGAGAGTATACGTTGACAAATCAGAAGCAAAAGAGAAGCTCCATACTCTAGTTATTTGGGGGGGGGAGGGGGGCGGGGAGATGAAGAGGAAAAGGCAGCATTACTTTTGAGATACCTGGGATATCAGTTGTGGTAACACCCAGCCAGCTTTAATCCTGTCCTTACGGCTATGCCGACTTCTTTCTCTCTGTACCTTTGGGCTGTGTCTAATGATGCACAAATGTTCTCTGGAACGCTTGTGGCCAAGAGAAGAGCGGAACTGGCGCATCTGTATGAATACATATGGGTTGATCACCAGCTATGAATGACTTTGAAATTTATCATCTTTGACATAGGAAGCTTTCTAAAAGTTGAAGGAATGAAAGATATCCAGGAGTTTCGTTCTTCTTTTAATTAAAATCAAATTATTAGAACTACATGCAAGTCACAGTTCTCCATGAATTTGTAATATTCAAGGTGGTAACACATGACTGGTTCTGGAAAAGGCAGTATATTCTTACTTGGTTGACACATGGGTGTAACAAGTAAGATTATCTAGAGCTTCAGTACGAGACCTAGAAGTGTAAAGAACCAAGTGTATCCTGACATTTCTATTACCTTTGTAATGCAAGTAAATTGCCTGACAGAAAACCAAGGTAAAAGGGAATGTGTCCCTGTAAATCAGTAAGCATTTAACACTGCTTTTCTGGCTTCTTCACAGAGTGGATCCAACTTGCCATCACCTCCTAAAGGAGAAAACCACAACTTACAAAGTATATGCAAGTGAATTTATTCTTATTTTACATTTCTACTTCTTATCCTAGCATCTATATTCCTTTGCATTCTTCCTCACGGTACTCGGACTCAGCTTGGCTCTACCCTGGTTAGCTGTATAACCTGAGACTGACTCAGCTTTGATCTGGAGTGGAAACAGAGCAAAAAGTGAACGCAGCATTTCAGCAGACGGTAGCGTGGCCTATTAGCCAGCGCTTCGCTGTCTAGCGTCGGTCTAGGATTGGGACCAAAAAAAAGATGTGTTTTGTCGGAAGAAATTTCCAACGGGAACATCCCAGTTCCTGGCCTGTCTGTCTTCCTTGCAGGGAGGGGAAACCAACCAAGCTGCGGTGCTGGAAATGCCGTTATCCTTGGTCCGCTTTTGCTCCACAGCTCCCGTCCCCAGCCCTAGAGAGGCTGTTGGCAAGCGGGGAGGTGAGAAGCAGTGGCTTTCAGCCTTTGGAAGCCACTTGCACAGGAGATGGGAAAACTTGAGCTCTGAACTCCTTGTCTCAGCTGCAGCAAAAAGTGATTAAAAAATTCCTCTCTGTGAGGCGCTGAAATGGTATTATCTGTGTTTTGCTGGGGGGGAGGAGGGGAAGACCAAAAACCCAAAGGCGCTAAGGCCCCAGCAAAGAAAAATATTTGCTATTTTGAAAGCAAAAGGATGTCCTAATACCTCTGTGGACTGAAACCTAGCAGGTTTTCTTGTGATTGTGTGCTGGTGCATGCGGGAAGGCCCCGAACGGTGCTCTCCCAAGCATGGCCTTAACTCCCAAACCATCCTCTCTTCCTGACCGTGCCCTTCAAACTGCCTCAAATAGAAAGGAGTGCAGAGCTTAAAAGTGTTAACGTTGACAGAACCTGGACTGTTTATGCCTCAGGAAGCGCTCTTCTCAAAATGTAAGTGCTTTCAGTGAGAGACTGCGATGAATAAAACTCTGTACTTACCAAAATCCAGGTCATCGATGTTGCAGCAAACCCCCCGTTGACCACCAGCTCTACAGCCTTCCAGCCTGGTATCTCTTCCAGGATAAGTTGATGTCCGTCTGCCTGCAGGACAGCTGGAAAAAGGCAAAGAAGCAGTGGCCAGTGCTGTATTTGCTTGTTTTTCTGTGAACTCTGAGTATATCTAAGTTTTAGCACTTAGGAGAGCAAGGAGCAAAAAACGGTGTTAATGTAGTTAAGTGCTGTACTAAACTCCCCACAAATCCTGTCAGCTTTAATCTCTTGCTTCACTATTATTACATTAATGGATCTCCTTTGAATGAAGCCTCCACCCTCTGTCATTTCTAGTTCTAGCGGTAAAAGGCAAGAAATTCATTATGTACTTGTATTTGCTATTAACTGGCACAGCAGCTGTAAGAAATGCAATGCATTTATTTGTAAGTACCGTGGAATAAGACTAAATTCAAAAGCAATCTCCAGTAAACGTTAAGATGGTGCTACAGAACAGCTGGAACATTAAGTGAACAACCTTGATAACCCAATTGTTCATTGACGCATAATTCATTTTGCTTCTGCTGAAAGAGTGATTCCTCAGGCCGTTAAAGACTTGAGATTTTGTGAAGCTTGAGAATCAAACCAGAAGGGACAAAACCCTCTCTCGACCCACGTATTTGTTTAGATGAATTAGGTGCTCTTTGGGTTTATTAAGGTACGTTGTATAGTGTTGTTGCAAATTAATCAGAACGGGGGAAATAAGAGAGCTGGCTGATAATGCAACTCCAGCAACAACAGAAATGACAGACTTCTGCCTGGGCCCCCATCGATTTAAATTTGTTTTAATTCATCTTATTCTTTTGACTTGTTTTACAGGGCAGAAGCAGATTCCTGTATAGTCAGTCAGGGTCTCACCTTTCCAGGTTTTTATCAGCCGTGTGTTAAGGCTGAGACAGCGTACTGACCAGTGCACATCGGTTATTGCGGCAGGTAGAGGTACCGCTTCCTCTATCCCGGTTCCACTGTAGCTGGATGACTTGCAAGGGTCGGTGTTTCTCAAACATTTAACCTAACTGCATCCATCTGTGACAGCTGTTTGCAGCATTTTGATTCCACTTACTGAAAAACTGCAGAAAGTGGCTGAGGAAGGAGCCTGGCTCATAAAGCAGCATGCTTTCAGCGTCTGCGGCTGCTGTGTCATCCTCGTCAGACAGCTCGCACTGCTTTCTGGGAAACTTGAACGGCAATCTCCGACAACTAATTCGCATTTGTAAAACGGATGAGAGGTGACACCTCTCCACTGTTGGCTCTAAATAATAATAATAATAAAAAAAACCCAAACAAACCAAAAACTGGTTTCCCTAGACTGGGGCCTGGTCTCTCTCGGTCCGTGTCAGGTACATCACCATGACCCAGCAGCCCCAGTAAGAGCATTTGAATGAGTTGCCCGTAGCCTCTCTATTGTGTTAACTCACGCGCGTTGTAAGTTTCCAGTGTCAACCAAATACTGATTTGTCCGATATTGAGTTCATCTTTCTTTTTTGTTGCATCTCTGTGGCCTAAAGCCTTTATAATCACAAAATTTGACTTATTTGAATACGTTAGATAACACGTACAATTTGATTTATCTCGCAACTTTAGATGGATTTTGCTAGGCAGAAATTTGTATTATGTATCCTCTTGCTGATGTAAAGCGTTAGAATGGAGGAAAAACTGTTGCTCGCTCCCTAATAAACAGAATTCATGATGAATCGGGGGAAAAAAGCTACATCATCCTCTGTGGGCGGTGTGTCACTGCAACCTGAGGTATGGACGGTAACCTTCTGCGGTGCTGGCGAACTCTGTGATACGCTGGAGCACGGCTCCTCCGTTAGATGCGTAGCGAGGCCCTTTCAAGCCCCGCAGCAATGCTGCCAGCGGGTGCGAGAAGTCGGAGGGGAGCTCTGCTCCCGAACAGGGCACAGCCGCCCCCCCCGAGTCTGGGGGTACCTGTCACCTCCGTTATGTCACTCGCTGGGAGCTCACAGGTGAGCTGGGAGCAACAAAAGTTACCGAGTACTTTGCTTTATAGCTAAATTTGAGCTGAAGCGTTTTCATCTTTGATTTATGGGCTTATTTCAGACCGTGTTTTTAATGAGGTTTGTGTAACTGGAAAAGGAAAATATATACACAGTGTAATACGAGTTTATTTTAGCAAACATAAAGGATGGAAGTGTTTGTGCTTTCCGAGGCGTATTTAAGGACCAGCTCTTTGCTTTGTCACGCATGTGACGCAATTGCTAGAGCCTCCCTCTGCAGCCTGCGAGCCGTGCAGCACCGAGACCCTTCGGTACAGCGTGATGGCGGAGAAACCGGAGGAAAACGAGCCTGCCGGGCCTCGGCGTGGGGCTGAGCCCTGTCCCGCCGGCCTTCCCCTGCCGCCCTGCCTGCCGCACCTCCCCTCCTTCGGGGGGAAACGTGGGGCGTGGGTCCGGCCGGAGGACTGCCACGGTCGCGGGGGGGGGGGCCGCGTTTCGGGG